ACTTAGTCTTTTCAGGGGAACACTGAGCAGATGTAACAAATTTGGAATATTCTTGATTATATGGGATGACTCTCTGGAAGGAGAGAAAAGGAGGGATCCTGGGAAAAAAATAGATATTAAACAGAAGATAGTAATAAAAATGTACTTTTAAAAAAAAATGTTGTCTCCCATTAGGCTGTGAGCTCTTTGAGAGCAAGAACTGTTTTTTTGCCTTACTTTGTAACCTCAGTGCTTAGCACAATGCCCAGCACATAGCAGGTGATTAATAAATGTGCCTTGACTAACCTTTTAAGTCTTTAAGTTCTTTCTCTTTTCTTATTGCTGTCACTACCATTTTTTGTTCTATGTTCAAATGACAAGTGGTGACAGTGAGCTTCTTTGTTTTACTCCTATATCAAAGAAATTATTGTAACTCTGATACACTCAAGGTTTATAATAGCTGTATACAGAAGCCTCAAGGAGAGGGACAGATAAACAAGGACAAATACATAACAGAAGCAAAAAGTTGTCAAACTAGTGGCAGCAAGATTAAAAGTCAGAGTGTAATAAGACTGATTTAAAAAGACAGACAGAAAGAAAGAAAGAAAGAAAGAAAGAAAAAAAGAAAGAAAATTCATAAAAAAACAAAAGGGTATTTTTAGCAATTTACAAAACAACAGAAAAGAAGGTCAGAATAATCTTACAGCTTAGGGTTGATATTGATAATGGATGACAAAGAGAAAGCAGTACTATTTAACTTTTGATACACTTAGGCAAGAATTCTTTACCTGGGACACATGAGTTTGTTATTCTTTAATATTTTAATAAGTAAATTTTAAGATAATTTGTTTCCTTTGTAATCCAATGAATTTTATTTTGTGGCTTAAAAATATTATTTTGGGAAGGTCTCAATAGGCTTTACCCAAACTGTCAGAACAGTCTACAACCCAGAAAAGGTTAAAAAAAAAAAACACTTGGTTTAGAGAGCTATACTCGGAGTCAAGAAAAGCTGGGTTCCACTCCTACCTACTTATTAGATGTGTGATTCTGAGCATGTCACTTCTCTCTTCTCAGTAATCATTTAACTCATCTGTAAACTAGATGTAATAATACCACCTACTTTCACAGTATCGTAAGAATCAATTGATATAACATATATAAAGCACTTTTCAAATATCAAAGGGCTATATTATTATCTTGTCTATCAGTGAAAATGATTTCTTTAAATGGGAAGGTTGAAACAAATAGTTTAAAGATTGAATCACAAGATAGGCAAGGAGATTATATGCCTGAACAGAATTACTGTGTATGAGTTCAAGTTTTCAGGTTCAGAAGACCATATTCCAATGTATAGATCTAATATTCAGGTGAGATTTCACAGCAATTATCAATAATCTTTCTGAAGTCTTGAGAAAAGGAGAAAGAGGTAATAAAAGCCTGAACATAGACAAATATACTGATTTTCAAAAGGGAGTAAGGATAGATTCCAGAAATGATATACCAATATTCCAAATAATCTTGGATCTCATAAAAGTGTCCATTCTCTACTGTTGTATACATTGTAACCTAACTATGCCTATAAAACTCTTATCCATATCCTCTCAAAATGCATCACAAGGGACACACTCAAAATGACAGAGAAGTTCTCAAATCTCTTGAGATCATAAGGATATGAAGTCCAGAAATCGTTGTTATAGATTGATAAATTTGATATCATTGTCTCAAAAAATTTTAGAACAAATTTTTAAATGGATGGTTTGTGAGAATCTAGAAGATATTGTGGGACATTAATTCACTAAAACATGATATATCAAAAATAGTCACTTTCATTTTTATAAGATTACAAGATGGCAAAAATTAAAAGAAAGGAATATATGAATTGTGCTGATTCCAGTAAAATATTCCAGCAAAATATGATCTTGATATTCTTGTGAATGAAGTAGTGAAATATTGGCTGGATGTCTTAAATACTACATTAAATAGAGTAGTATACAAATAGTGCATTAAAAAGTAATACTAAATAGACTGATACCTAATGGAACAATAAGAATGTTGATTAATTGGTTAAGTTGGAGGGAGTTCTCAAATGAAGGGCTTCAAAGCCTCATTTTTGATCCTTACCCAAAATTTTCATGAATAATGAGCATCAGAACATTATGTTTTATTACTCAGGCAAGTCATGTTCACTTTTCTCTTTCTCTCAAGGCTCTGCTCCTGGCTTTCTCGATTTTTTTATTCACTGCACTTCTCACCTTTTCAGCTTTCTTTTATGTGTTGTCTTCTCCCATTAGAATGTAAGCTCCTTGAGGGAAGAAACTATCTTTCTTTTTGTTTGTATTTGCATTTCCAGGACTTGTCACAGTGTTGTTGTTGTTGTTGTTATTGTTGTTGTTCAGTCCTGTCAGATTCTTTGTGAGCATGGGGTTTTCTTGGCAAAGAAATTGGAGCAGTTTGCCATTTTCTTCTCCAGTGGATCCTTTTTTTCAGGCAAACAGGTCAAATGACTTGCCCAGGGTCACACAGCTAAGAAGTGTCTGAGGCTGGATTTGAACTCAACTCTTCCTGACTTCAGATGCAGTGTTCTATCCACTAGGCTACCTCACTACTCCCTAAACATAGTAAACACTTAATAAAAACTTGTTTACTTGACTTTTGACATGTTTCTAAAATGTATAGATGAGCTAGAGCTGGAATTATAACAGATAATAATTAAAATTTAACAAGTTCTTGACATACTGGACTAAAACAAAAATCAATAGTGAAGAATAGAAAGTTTTTCATTTAACTTAAAAATAAGGGGGACAGCTATATGGCCAATGGATAGAGCTCTGGCCTTGGAATCAGGAGGACCTGAGTTCAAATCTGACCTCAGACACTTGACACTTACTAGCTGTGTGACCCCAGGCAAGTCACTTTACCCAGATTGTCTCACCAAAAAAAAAACAAAAAAAAAGGGATGGGATTGTCTTACTTTGCTTCAGATGAAAAAAATCTAGAGATTTCAGCTAATCAAAAACTTAATCTGTTGCAACTAGCAAAATGTCCATAATTTGAGGTTAATAACAATTAATTATTAGATTAATAATAGCTCACATTTATGTAGAATTCTACAACTTATAAAATGCCTTCATCTCAATAGTTCTGTAAAGTTATTTATTCCCTTTTTATAGATAATGAAACTGAGACTCAGAAAAGTTAGATGACTTGTCCAAGTTCCCATGCATGGCAGGAGCTACATACAAACCCGCTCTTCTGACTCCAAGTCCAATAATCTGTTCCTGACATTATGTTGCCTCTAAGACATATAGGAGCAAAGTCACACAAAGTAATGAATCCAACTGTACTCTAGCCTGGTCATAACACACTTGTAGTATTTTATTCATTTCTTGTCCCCAGATTTTAAGAGGAATATTGACAAACTATAGGATGTCAGAAAAGTATGAGTCTGAAAACTATGCTATATGAGGAATGGTTTAAAGAACTGGAGATATTTAGCCTGGAGATGAAGCTTCAAGGAGATGTAATCATTGTCTTCAAATGTTTAACAGGTAACCAAACAGTCTTGCATTTTCCAGAACCAAGATTACAGAATTTAAAGCTAGACGGGCATTTAAAGATTGTGGACTGCAGATAAATGGATATATATGTGTGTGTATGTGTGTGTGTATGTGTGTGTGTGTGTTTATGTATGTACATATTGCATTTCAATATGCAAAGGAATTTCTGAACAGTTAGAGGTCCTAAATAATGGAATAAGTTGCCTTCAGTGGTTCTCAGTACACTATCATTGCAAGTATCAACTAAAACCTAGATGCCTATGAGCCAGGGATGCTATAGGAGAGATTTCTGAGTTGTTAGGAAGTTGATTTCTAAGGTGAGTCCAGCTTTAAAATTCTATGGTTATGGTGCCTACCTTATACTTCAACACTACTACAGGGTGATTGTGACGATTTAAGGACTTATTGAAAATGGACACATGCAAACTGCTAGATTTCAGTATCCTTAGGCAAAAGCTAAACCTATTGAATAAGAAATTAAAAGTCCAATTGATTGTCTGGATCATTTGTCTGCACCAGTGGTGTCAAGCTCAATTAGAAACCGAGACGATTAAAACGTACATAAGGATCCCTACTGCTGCACATTGATTTAGAAAACCACCTATCAACATTATCTATATTCTATTATATTTGTATTTACTTTCTTAAGTATTCTACAATTACATTTTAGTCTGGTTTGGGCTACACTCAGGAATGTTTCTAGCCATGTGATTGACACTGCTGGTCTAAACAATGCCAAAAATTTAGGTACTTTTTTGTATGCAAACACTTTTGTGATTGGTATCAAGTAGCAAAAGATGTCTGGAATAAACCATAATTACCATTATTGATAAATTTAGATCTGTTACTACCTTACAAATTATAAATCAATATATACCTTTTAAACAAGTAACTACATAAGAGAAATTTTAAGTTTCTTGTATAAACTTCTTTCTTGTTTTTCTTTGTATGTGGAAATCTTTGTGTTTGTTGATAATTGTTAGGCTTGAAAGCAAAAAAAAAAGAATTTATTTTTTTTAAAAAGGAAAAAAAGAAAAGAATGACATCTCTACCTTTATTCTGCACTTAAAATCACAGAATATGATTTCCAAATCTATTTGTTCAGTTCTAATATCTCTTCTGACACACTACTCTGAAATTGTAACTCCTCTCCTCCTACATATCTTGCTTTGCCAGGATCTAATAACCTATGTCAAGTAATCCAGGTTACTGAACACTAGAAAGTTTATGGCAGACAACTCTTACATCACCCTCTTAGATGATGACTTATGGGTAGCATGATACTGTGGGAGTCAGAGGACTTGGGTTCAAGTGCTGCTTTCAACAAGTCACTTAAGCTCTCTAGGTCCCAATTTCCTTATCTATAAAAGTGTTGGGGGGGGCGTGACTAAAGAGCTTCTATGGAACCATCCAGTTCTAAATACATGAAATTATGATCTAATTATTTCCAGCTTCTATAACTCACTAGGTTTGATCTTTCCCCATTACTTTCTTAATTGCCCTATTTATATCTTTATTTCTCAGTGTATATATCAAAGGGTTGAGGGTGGGAGCTATAATGGTATAGATAAGGGCCAGGACCTTGACTTGGCCTTGAGAATAATTGCTCTTGGGTTGAAGATACAATGACATGATAGTCCCATAGAACAATGAAACCACCATCAAGTGTGAGGCACAGGTCCCAAAAGCCTTCCTCTGTCCCTCAGCTGAGCGGATCTTTGCCACTACCCAAGCAATGCAGGCATACGAGGTGAGGATGATAGAGACAGGGATGGCCAGAATGATCAGGCGAGCAATGAACATTTTAGAGTCCATTGACCTAGTGTCCACACAAGATAGCTTGATAATAACAAGCAACTCACAAAGGAAATGGTCTACCTGGCAGTGGCCACATAATGGCAACACCATAGCCAAAGATGACTGAAGGAGTGAATTAACAAAGCCTGAGAACCAGGAAGCAGCTGCCAGGAGATGGCAGAGTAGAGGATGCATGATGGTGGTATAGCGCAGGGGCCAGCAGACAGCAACATAGCGGTCCACAGCCATCACAGCAAGAAGCATACATTCAGTAGATCCAAGAGCCAAAGCTACTGAGTATTGGACCAAGCAGCCAATATAACTGATTCTCTTATTATGCCCCCAGATGTTCATCAGCATTTGGGGGACAATGCTGGTTGTGAAACAGATGTCCAAGAAAGAGAGGTTTCTGAGGAAGAAGTACATAGGAGTGAGGAGCCGAGAGTCCAGAAAAGATAAGATGATAATGGTCATGTTGCCCATCAATGTAATGGTGTAGAACACAGAGACAAATAATGAAAAGATCAGCTCTAACTGAGGTTGGTCAGAAAAGCCCATTAAGATGAAATATCCTCCCGAACTTTCATTAACTTCCATCCTCTGATCATTTTTCACCTCCTGCAGTCAAATGAGTTTGTACCTACAAAATGTCTAAACAAATAGTTAAAAAGTAAAAATTTGATCAATTAGCTGGTTGGCATTATATGTGGTATCACTCTGTGGGTAAAACCCAGTTTTTACATAATGAAAAATGACAACGAGATCAAATATTCTCCCCCAGTGAAATTGACTGAATTATTTGATTTTGTAGAATTATATTTCCACTATCTTATAGTCACCAAGAGGACAAAACTTATGAAAGTTAAGTAACATGAACTGCTCTCTTTCCTTGAATTTGATTTGCCTTTTCTCAAATCAATAGGACTTCATGATACAAATATTGCTACCACAAAGCCTCGCTTTCCTGCTTGGGAAAATTAGGGATGTGAGGATTAGAAGCAGAAAACCAAGAAATCCAACATGAAGAGCCAGGTTGGAGGAATAGTCATCTGGTATCTCATAGAGGAGATTCTTGACCAGGTATGGGCCAGATGATATGGCTTCTGAAGTTCTTCCCAGCTCTGACATTCTGTGATTCAATTATTATGTCAATAAAGCAGTATATACATATTCCCTATTCAAGAAGATAGTGGAAGGGGGAAATGATAGCAAGAAGAGAAATGGTTGAGATAATGGATTAAGTAAATTATTAGAAGATGCTTGGCCAGCACTAACTTTAGTTAGTTCTAGGAAGGACATATTTACTGGTTTCAAGCACACCCTTCCCAACAATCATGCCAATGCATGCACATCAGAAGGGAGACATCCTAAAAGACTGTAACCATATAACCATGCTTATACATGTATACACAGATGCCTAACATTTCCATTGCTTACAATACAAGTAAACATAGGGGACCAGAAGAGAAAGAACTCAAAAACACGGTATAAAAGGCTTTATTTTGTTTCATTTTCCAAATAATCCTTGATATCCAAGAAGCATAAAGGATCCTCTTTCAGATAGTAACTAAATAATATATCCCTAGAAAGGCTACTGCTCCTTTGTTTTTTGGGAGCCTGCATCTTCTATTTTTGGAAATTCAAAAGGAATAAAAACAACTCACCCTCATATGCTGCCTCCAGATCCCAGGATTTAGGCCCCAGATACTGAAATGTTTCCTATTACCCCTTCCATGTCTGTTCAAAGTCCACGTAGTGAGAGAAAACTAAGAGTCTCTTGAATATAGCAGAAAAAGTAGAGTTTTGAGAGGGAAGTTTAAGGGGGTCATAGTGTGAATGCAATACCTGGCAGCAAAAGGCCCAGATTTCAAAAAAAACTCTAGTACCTACCAGCTTTGTGATCTTGGACAGATCATTTAACCTTTGTGAAACTCAGTTTCCTCTTCTGTAAAATGGGAGTAATAGCACTTTCATTATGTAGCTCACCAGGTTGTTCTGAGGAGCAATCAAGACAAAGAACACAAAGTTCTTTCTACAAAAAATATTATGCAGATGTCACTTATCATCATGTTAAATAATGCAAATCCAAACTTGTAGCTGACATTTTTTTTTCAGTCCCCATTTCCCCTGACATGCATGCAGCATTGTACACTTCTGACAACTCTTCCCTTTTTGAAGCTCTCTCTTTTACCAGATTTAATAACATCAATGCTCAAGGGTTGGGGGAGAGGGGGTGTCTCTTCCTAACTCACTAGCTATCCCTTCATCTCTTTCACTGCCTCTGCCATATGTTTTACTTTCCTAATTATAGATGGATCAAAAGGCTTAGTCCTAAACTCTCTGCCTTTCTCTATATTTGCTATCTCTACTAGTATTAATCCTGTCTTCAATTCTGGAGTCTACATAGATAATTCACAAATCTATGGCTCTAGCCCTCACAACTCCTACCCTCCCCCCACATTGGGGGATATCTCCAGTTAAATATCTCGCAGTCATTTCAGACTCAATATATCTAAAAACAGATATTTCCTCTGAAATAAGATCTTACTCTTGAATTCTCAATCTCTCACAATGACATTACGAGTTTCTGTCAACCACTCTCCAAAACCTGGAGTCATTCTTGAGTTCTCTTTCTCCTTCTACTATACCCAATCAATCACCAAATTAAGTCAATCCTTCATAATTCCCACTGGTTTCCCATATTTTCCATTATCACTAACACCATCTTAGTCATGCCCTGCTCTCTCATCACATTCTAGTGAAAATAATAAGTGCTTTAAAATATACTCACTGGTTAACTGATTAGAAGTGAAATGTGTAGCTATGCAGGGAGGGTGGAATTCTTTATTGGAAGTTCCCTATCCAATTCAGATAAAACCCATTTTGTTTTCAGTTACACTAAGTTCTAATCAACAGAAGTAAAGACAGAAATATGATAGAATCTAGGCTCTATGATGGCAGGAACCATCTTATTTAACCTTTATATCTTTCATGTGTCCCTTATTACCTATCACAGGTGTTTAACTTCATTTCTGCAGTCACTTTGTTCTCAAGTTTCCTACTCCTACCTCATTTGCAGAATATTTTCCTCTATAATTCCGTTCATTTCCTTAGCTACCAATTCCTTTGCAGACAACTGCCTACTCCAGTAATGGCCCATCTTCTAAACTACAAACTCATGTTTTCAACTGCCTGTGAATTATCTCTATCTATGCAAACCACTAGAGCATCAAATTCAACACATCCAAACTGGAATTTTGTTCCCTACCAAATCAGCTCTTTGCCCTGACTTCTGTTCCTCTCTTTGTCTCCAACATTTGCAACTTTGTCTTTGATTCTTCCTTCTTTCTGACCTCTCAGAAAGTTTTGTGCCTCCCTATTACCAGCCCTCAGGTAAGACTCATCAGAGTGGGGAAGCCAGAAACAGAGAAGTCTTTTGTTCCTACCCAGAGACTAAGAGTTTCAGACTCTGCCCAAAAGGGTCAAACCCAGGGTTCCCTAGACTAGCTTTTATAGGTCTTCAAGATTAGACACATGAGCACACAGAATAATTCTCTAATAAACTCCATTTTTTTCCTTCTGAAGCATTCCCCAAATACCCAAATCCCTTAGTGATCAATTAGCATTTAGCTTTTACAGGCCTAGAGAGGAAGTACAGAAAGAAATCCCTGAAGAGATGGAGTCTCTCTGCCTTCCCATGGAATTTCCCATTCATAATGAAAACATTTCAATTTATTCAGTTATTCTGCATACTTTACTTCCCATTACATGATAGACAAATTGAACAAAGGGGAAGGTAATAATTACTAACATTGAAGATAAAGCACCTCCCTTTTAAAAATCATTAATATTTAGTCGTTAGCATGTTTAATCTAATTCAAGAAGACATGATTATGTTAAAGTACAAATTCATCTGTTTAACTGCTTTAAATTTCATCATTATTTTATATAATTGTTCAGTTAATCTTATCATGAAGTCCACTTCATTTGCCTTCAGATATTTTTCCACTATACTCACCCTGTTTTCAATCAGTTTTCATCCCATCTCTTACAAAATGAATATCATGTTATGTTGTAGTCTTTTAAAATATGTTTTACATTTTCATATATTCATAACTTATATGAATGTTATTTCTTAAGGCCTCTAGAGGAAAATGCACATAGAATAGATTTTGTACAATCACATATGGCATGCAGTTGTTGAAAACCTGCCTTTTTATCGTTTACAACCTTACCCTCCATATTCTGTTCCATTGTACAATGGAAAGAGCACTGGCTCCGAAAGCAGAACACATGCATTCAAATGCCATCTCCTACACTTAGAACCTCATGTGACTTAGTCCTAACTGATAAAAAGAATACTAGACTGGGTTTTAGGCAAGGGTATGATAGTAAATTTTTAACAACCAGTTCACAAAAAATGTACACATGACAAACTTTTAAATTTAATCTCCATTATTAACATTTTCCCTATCACTTAAGTCTAGACTCTAGACCATCAACAAATTAAGAAATCAAACTTTGATTGGAGATGTTTGCTGACTTCCAAGGTGTAAATGTTCACACTAAAAATTTAACAATTGGCTAGATAGTGGTTAAAGCTGGCTCCAGAACACCTCTGGTTTTAGGTAAATAGTGATATGTATTTTAGTTTTTGTTTATATCACTAATCACCTGGAGAAATCATTCTACCTCTCTGGTATTCAATTTCTTTGCCTGTAAAATTGGATATTCTATTAAATGCTGGGAATACAATGATTTATCAAATATAATGACTGCCCTCAAAAAATCATCTATTAGAATAAATATGATGTCTGCTCAAGAAACCATAAAGCAAATTAGATAGTTAAGTGTGAAAGATAATTTCCTTGAAATGCGATGCAAGAGAGAACATCAAAATGAGCTCAGCTCATGAATCTGAGAGGACTTCTTCACCTCCACTCCAATGGAAGTTCCTCCAATTCGTAAGTTCCTTCCTAGTAACTCCATTTGAGGAAATACCCTTACTGGCCATTCTCATTTCAAGGAAAAGAGGAGAAAGAAGGGGAAGAGAATGGGAGAGGAGAAGAGATCCTTACCCACAGGAAAGAATTTGGCTCCACCATCCACACAGGAAAAAAAATAAGGAATGAAGATTATCTATTAAACATGCTGTTAATTAGAAAAGCTATAGTGTTTTCTATATGTGTTTGTGTGTATACATGTATGGACATATATCATCTGAAAATGGATTGATTTTGACTTCTACTCTGCCCATGTTTATTTCCTTAATTTGTTTTCTTAACATTCTTTTTTTTTGTAAATAGTATTCCATTTTTTCCAATTATGTGTAAAGATAGTTTTCAGCATTCATTTTTTATGAGATTTTGAGTTTCAAATTTTTTCTCCCTCCCATTCCCCCCAAGACAGCAGCAGTATGTTATATGTTATATATTTGCATATGCAATATGCATATACATATACAATCTGATATAGGTTAAACATGCAAACATATTTTC